TGTATTTATAATTATATTTCTTACATATTATATCTTAAATTCAATTTCTAATTATTTAATTATCTTTTACTGCTATTTTTTGCATTCAAAACTCCATGCTTTAATGTGCCAGCTTAATTAAATCTGATTGGATGTTGTTCTGTTTTTGTCCAAAAAAATATACATCTATTCAAAACTACTACCATGTCCTTAACAATTCCTTCAAAATGTATTCCTCATTTTTTATTACAAAAAAAAAAAACAGTTATATATATGTTAAATATAACCTTAGCACTAACTAATAGATGGCATTAGGACTAGATGCTGCCCACTGCTGGCTCACCTCCAGCAGCTCGATAGCAAAGACAAGAGGCTGTGGGTTGGCCTGTAGATGATCCAGATCTTTGTGCCCTAAAGAGTGGTGGGAATGGATCTGAGCGATGCCACAGCAGTGCCTCTGGCCCTCCAGGGGATCTTTACCAACGCTTATGTTTCTCAGAGACTGGGACACGAGTGGGTAGAGTGCTGTGTGCTGTAAACAGACAAAAAACAAAACGTGAGCAGCAATGAAAAATGTAAGAAGCAAATCTACACTGATATAGAAAATATGTTGAAATCCTGCGATTTTTCTTTTCCATTCCATCTTGTGAGACCACAAACAATGGATTATTTTAGGATTTTATGTCATAGACAAACACAAAATAGGAAACGACCGATCTGCATTTTTTATTTTTTTTTATTCTTCAGAGATAATCTGAAAAGTGGAGCATTTATCTATGGTCACCCGCCTTTACTTGGATACTGCTGAATAGTGATGTCCCATTGCAATATTAACATCGGACCAATTTTAGCCGAAAAAACTAACTAGCTCGGCCGGCATTTCAAATCTCTGATATTTTCATGCTGATAGGAACACTCTGCTTTTGTTAAAAGTTTATCTAAATCATTGGTTACTTTTACATGGGTTAGCTGTTTTCATACCTTTTGTTGTTGACTTTTGTTCCCCATTTTAGTAATATTACTTGATCAAGCCTTTTCTAACATCCTACAGTATAAAATAAATAGTAAAAGCCAGTATAATTCGTGCTAGTATCATATCGGGTCAATATTGGTATTGGCCAATCTCAAAGCTGCAATATGGGTATTGTATCTAAAATAAGAACGTGGTATCGGGACACCAGCACCACTAAATAAAATCAAGAGCAACCACCACCTATCAGAAGTTAGCTAATTAATGCAGTCATGTACAGCTGTAGTTTTCAAACCTTTCAGTTTTCACCAAAGAGAATATTATCTGATGCAAATTTGTAAATATCTTGTTAAACTGTTAGACCTTTTCTACCATGCATTTAATAAATATGCTCAAACAGTATTTTTTGTTAACTGATTATTGAAGAGGATCCCAAAGCCCCAAACGGTTGTTGATTCATAATTCAAACCTTTTGATCCATAGATGGATCTAAACAACACAACATATGGAAGAAGGTTGTATGGAGAGAAGAGCTGAACCATTTTGCTAGAAATCAAAACTGCGATTGTCTCCACCAAAGTTGTGAATATGATTTAATTTTAAGTTTCCTTTGCACTGACTACAGTGTTGCACTGTCTTCATGACCACGAAAGCTTGCTTGCCCAAACTCCATCGTCGCAGGATTTTAACGTTACTGTTATGTGGAAAAGTTTTTATTTCTATTAGCTTGTACGGATTTGCACACTAGCTGCAACTGTTTCTTTCGCTCTGTGTGGGGGGAAAAAAATCTATCTAAGTGTATTACCGCCACCAAAAGAACCAGAGTGAGTCAGTCAGTGTCTTATTCTCATTAATTATGTGACCAAAATTCTGGGCTTTTGCGATTTGTTAAATTACAATTACATTGCAAATGCAATTAATTACCCAGCCTTTAAGGAAATAGTGATCAAAAGGCACATTTGGGAACTTTTTGATGTGCATGTGAGAAAGTAACAGTGCACATCACCCTGAAAATATCCATGCAGTGAAACATGAAGGTTGGAGCTTATTCACACCCTGTGGAAGCACTTATTTACAAATAATAAGGATCCTGGTGAGAATAAAGGAATGCCGAATGGGAATCCTGTAAGAAAACCTATAAGAGGCATCTAAACACTTGAGGCTGGGACTAAGTTTCACCCTCCAGCATGGCAAAAACCCTATAAAACACTTAACTATAGTGCAATCTATTTAAGTGATACCTTATTGTTAAACGGTCATTATGCTAGTCATAATCACACCAATGTGCTCACTTTATATGTATGCATTACTTTATGTCAGTGTGTCACAGAAAAACATTAAAGTTTGTGGTCAAAATCAAACTAAATGTGAGGAAGCAGACGGATGATGCAGCATCACTACCTTGGTGTCGCAGGTAAACTCTGCCACCTCGCCTTTTCTCATGGTGATCACTATTCTTTCCCACACAGCCAGCTTGAACTTCTTCCCCAAGATGAGCTCCATAGGTTTACTGCGACCCCCCATGGTCCTGGAGTCATCCAGCACTGTGCCATCACAGAGGCTGCTGCGGTAGTGGAAAACCACCTGATGAGACAAACAGATTGGTCAGGAACTGCTGCTGTGATCACAGGAAACATCAGGGCAACTGACTGTGTATTTTCACAGCAAACAACTAAATTATCAACTCGTCTCTGACAGGCCTAAATAACGTTTTACGTCATCGTATTTTTGACAAATCACAACGCGGGAAATTTAACTGACATGGAAAATCGACGAATCAGCGTCTAGGATTTTTTCTTCTCCGCCCACTAGCTTTACAGTACAGAAAAAAATAGGGAATGAAAATAAGTAAGGATTTTTAACAGATACAACTAAAAGGGGTTGATTTCAAACACCTAGTCTGATAAACTCGAAAGGTTAAAGAATGAAAGTCTGGGATGCTCTGTATCATAGTCGTCAAACAAACATTTGGGGATACTTAGAAAGGATACCACGGTGGTAGCATTTTGCTTGCTAGCCTGCCTTCTCCTTGTCTCCAACTAATGCCTGTATTCTGAATAAAAGGCGACCCCTCCTTCTACAGTGTAATATTTTTTTGGTTTTGTTTTTACCTTGGTTCCATTAGGAAATGTGGACAGCTCTCCTCTCCCAGGACTTATAAGTTTCTTTCTTATTCCCTCTTCGAGAAGCTTGCGTCCCTCTTCCTCCATCCTTAACCGTTCGCGGAAAATGCCGATGTTTGCCGAAGCTGCTGCTTTCGTAACTTGGTACGTCATCTCCAGGGCTGAGATGTCAGGAAAAACAAGACAAAATACAAAAACTTTTTTTTTTCGTCTTATAGCTGGTAAACTCATATAAAGTATAGAATTTAATCAACTTCAAAAATAAATCCCTTTTTTGTTTATATTTTATTGGTTTGTAAGAACCTGTCACATATTTCAGAGCTCAGTAGCTTACAAAGCAAATTATTTTATACAAGCTTACAGTGCTTTAGAAAAGTATTCAGACACCTTGAACTTTTCTCATGTTACGAGCCCAAACATCTGGTTTCTACCAGAATGTCTGTGAAAAATAAACTGGGAGGACATTTAATTAAGGATAACAATATAGTCTGTTGGTTATATTTAGTCCCCTGTGCCTGGGCAACCCTAAATATAAAACCCAATTGCAGCAAATTATATGAACGTGTTATTATGTTATGTTAGATTGTGAAAATTACATTCTGACCTGAGCTATTGGGTATAGAGATAGCTCTGACCTGAGCTATCTCTATAGTTATGCTGCTATAGGCTGAGACTTCTAGAAGACATAGGGACCACTATTTCATCATTTTGCTTCATTCTATCTCTATTCTCCCACTCTGCAGAATCTGTTAGTTTAATCTCTAACGTTCTGCTCTATCTGCCTTTTCTCATAGTAGCTTTGCCTCATCTGTTTCTGTTTGGCTGAGACATCATCCTGGAGAGAAGTATCAGCTGTGTGGCTGCCATCAGCACCTTTGTTTATAAATGTTGGAGCTTGGCCTGTTTTCCATTGTAGTCCTGTTTCTCTGACTGTGACTAACTGGATGGGCTCTCTTCATCCTCTGGCATGGGAGCTGGCTCGGAGCTTGTCTGCCTGGCTGTGTATTTCCAGGACGGAGCCACCTGTGAAGCTGGTTAACAAGTACATTTTGTATTTCTGCTTCTGTCTCCTTGAACCCCAGTCGGCCTAAGCAGCTGGCCCCTTACACTGAGCCTGGTTCTGCTTGAGGTTTCTTCTTGTTAAAAGGGAGATTTTCCTCTCCACTGTCGCTACAAGCATCCTCGGTGTGAGGGATTGTTGAGTCAATGAGTCGATGCGATTAGCTGGTTTTCCATAGACAGAAAACTTTGAACAAATCTGATTTATTCGTCTCTGTAAAGTGCCTTGAGATGACATGTCCTGTGCATTGGTGGTATTTAAATAAACTGAACTGAATGGATAGACTAGACAAAAACTCAAAATGAATTACAGTTTGTGCATAATTTTACTAGAACTCCAAAAACATTCCCTGATGTATACATTTTCTGTTTAAAACAAAAATCAAATAAAATATTAGAATGAATCTGGCATTGCAATTATACAGGATATGTGCTGATTAGAAGCCTTAATAAACACACAATAACTCTGAGAAAATTCAAAATATGCACAATTTTATTTTCAATTCATAGACATTTTTCACACAACACTAAAACCACAGGCAAGACCAATCTCCTTGTATGTGTGTACGGAGCAACCTTAGTTCATGTAGAGGAAATGTAGTCATGGCACCAAGTGGTTCAAGTAGCAGTGGTCATTACCATAAAAAAAAACAACAAAGCAATAACAACAGTGTGACGTTACATTTTGATACAATTCATGAACTACAGTTCATTGCAACATTAAGGAAACAAAAATGGAGTGAAATGTAATGTGGAATGTGATTTCATTTTTCAAAGTAAGGCAAGTAGAAAAATTTGAAGCCTCTCCGACCCTGGACAGCACAGGTGATGTAGATCACATGATATGCTAGGAAATACAGAAAATGACAGTTAATTAAAAACAAAACAAAGAAAATGTTTAAAAGGACTCAAGAGTCAATTTGTCTAATTTTAACATTTTTTAAACCCAAAGGTAACCTTTTTTCACTTTTATCCTCAAATGTATACCTATAAGCAAATACCCTTTGACCCCTGCACTTAAACCAAAGGGTATCAATCTATTTCTTTTCTTTTGTGGAGGATATACATTTATTGTCAAATAAAAAATGCTTGCAATGCAAATGCATGTCCTAATAGAACTGTAGTGCGACAGTAGCTTGGTTTCTTCATATGGTCTTGCTGTGAAAAACAAAAGCACACACTTCACAAAGCATGATTTTGGTCCTTGTCCTCTACTGAAGACATAACTGGAAGGGTACTAACATTAGGTCACCTTGCTATCACCACTCTAGCCAGTCTGTTAGGGTTGCTGGTTGTGTAACTTTTCTCCTACTGTGTAAAATTCTGTGTAAAAAATGGTTAAAAAAATCACGACACACTACTAACATTGCTAATGCTACATCCAGATGATTGCACATTGACCTGCAAATGAAATTCTTGTGAGCACTCTGGTGAGAAAAAAAAGCGTTATGAAAAGGGGGGGCTAAATGATTTTTCTTTTTCTACTGAAAATGATTAAATATGAATTTAGAGTCAATTTCCAAAAGATTGTATGAATAAAAAATAACAGGTTACGACTTACATTTAAACTTTAAATGTATTAAATTAGTTAATTTATTTAACCTACCATACTCATTAACATACTAGCAGGTGAAAAAATATTTTCAAACATGTCTCAGTGAGATTTTCTTTCAGACAGTTGAAATAGTTGTTTTTTTTAAACTCATGCTACCAAACTTTAACATCTTTTACACCCTTTTACACATCCACTCTCACAAAGGAGTCATTCAGGAACAAGAACGTTTCAATTCCAAACTCACTAAACAAATAAAAAAAAAATGTATTACTTGTCAAGATTTGTGAAAAGGACTACTTTCTTTGGTAATAAATTATTTCCTTTTAAGCCCTTTAATGTAATATTTTTTATTGTATAGTGACACTAAGCTGTAACATGTGGAACAGGTAATTGCTTCTAGCACATTTTTTATGAATGACTAAGAAATGGGTTAAAATAAAAGAAGGAAAAACAGATTTAGCTAAGGACTTTGTAGGAAGAAATAATGAATCAGCATTAGATAAATGCTGATTAAATTGCTTTTCAAAGATGCTGCAGAAACCCCAATTTCTGGTTTCTATACCCATTTGGCCCAGAATATGACAGCTTTATCAACACTGACCAATAACCCAGAGTGCCCCCTGCTGGTGAAAAGATCTAGTTATTTTAAAAGGCGATTAAACGGACAAAGAAACAAAAGGCACAAAATCCATGAACAGGTGAGATGACCAGCATCAGTTTAAAAGCAATGTTTAGTAAAACAAAAGATCAACTTACCTCCAGGAATAAAAAGAAGAAACCCAGGCACAAAGAAAATGGCACTAGAAACACCTGTGAGGAATATCGTCATTATTGACAGATCTGCTGAAGTTATACTATTCATCACAACCAAACATTCATTTATCATTATTAGCTAAGGTTTGCATAAATAACCTTTAAGATTTATATAAATAACATTACTTTTTTAACCTGATGTTCCTGAATAAAGGTGATCTTGTCTTACATGGTTTGGCTGATGTTTATGATTTACTCCAATGAGAAGGACAAGGAGACACATTTTTGGTTTGGTTTCCAAATGCAAACAAAAATCCTATATTAGAAACAGATATATAAAGCTTTTTCTGTGTCAATTTTTAATCCATCTATAAATTCCAGTGAATGAGAAAAACCAACTGAATGTAATGTCATGTTTATTCAGCTAAATCTAATAGTCTAAAAGTATTACAATATTATTGCCATATGTTGTGTGACCAGATGATACAAACTTTTTTCTCAATTACAACTGCTGAATATGTGTACAGAGCCTTAATATTAGTCTTTGGAAGAGAAAGCATAAATCTTTCATCACGCTGTGGCTCTTTTCCACATACTCACCAAATTTACCTGAGGTTTGATCAAAACTCACACTTCCAATTTAAACTAAGATGATTTATATCAAAATCCACAATATAACTTCTACAATGAAAGGACCAAAAACAAAACGCTTTTTCGCACTAATATTACTTCCAAACACCTTAATGATTTGTAATAGCATCCAAAGTATTTTATAGAAACTAGGTTAATCTGTGGGTAGAGTAAACCTGGATCCTCCTTTGTCACAGTTACCCTAATTCTCACTGTGTCCAGCTCCAATCCACTGCATTTCATATGCATTATAATCAAAGAGAGCTTTTACAAGGCCGCGGTGAGCAGACAGCTCGAAAGTAGAATTTAAGTCAATTCTATTTTTGCCCAACGACGGAGCCAAAACCACAGTAAATATAAAAAAAGTCACATTACTTCAAAAGGTATCGGAACAATTAAATCATCTTGATTTAAAAATAAATAAATAAGTAATCATCCCCACCAGAAGAGTGGCATGTTTTCCCAGTAACAAACCCAGGATCAAAATGGAAGTTAGGGAACTGCTAAACAAAAAAAAAAAGAAAAAAAAAAGCCAAATGACGGGAGACAGGGAGCTGAGGAATATAAAGAAGCAATTTAAGGTCAAGATAAAAGCAAGAAGGCATACAGGAAGAGGCTGAAAAGCAAGCTCAAGCAGAACAATATCAGATATTTGTGGTCAAGAATTAAGATGGATGATCAGACGGAAGGGAGTTTTTGCAGAAGTAGTGAACTTAATATATTCTTCAGAGGGTTGTTATGGATCAAACTCGGCATCCTTCTCTCCTGTCCACAGCCAAATGGACTTCACGCCCACCTTTGATCCAAAGGGTAAGCTCAAATGTTTCATCTTCCACCTCTGTCATCGGCCCTCCTGCTTCTATGCATTTGTTTTCAGACCAATCAGACGACAACTCAGAAGATGGTGCTGCCCCCTCCTGCTTCCATCTGTCTGCTTCTAGAAGTCAGGACCTAGAGGCTACACCAACTTGGCATCTCCATACCTTCTGCGTTACATTAACGCACACTACTGTGTATATAGTATATAGCTATGTAGTATATTTTGCATATAGTATATTGTATGTTTTATTGTATATAGCTTTAGATTCTATATTCTGTTTTGTCTGCACAATCAACACCAAGTCAAATTGCTTGTAAGTGCAA